ATATCCTGTTACTCACGAATACGACATCATACATTTTCTTTGTTGATTTTACATGTAACTCAACTGATAAAGAAGTCATCCAATGCTAATTCTAGCTCTTTGAAAAGAACTTTCATTGGTAAATGTTTCCAATCTTTGGGGCATTGGATATTTCTGATTGCAACTGTACATCATTCCATAGGTTTCTCGTCAGTCATGTACACAATTATATTTATTTCATATTTATTCCATAAACATTTAGCTTTACAGTTCCTGATATATGTCTACTTTGATGTTTTTGAGTGTGTTTTGTTCTGTACAGTCTAATTCTGTTATGTTTTACTGACTGGATGGCATGAGTAGCAATTCCGGTGTACTGATGTAAGGTAAATAAAGAATCTTGAATCTTCAGAACGCACTTCTCTGGACTGTACAATCTCTACCCCCCTACACATCTCAGTGTAATTAGGTTCATCAGATCTGCCTCTGTGGCTGTCCTTTTATATACCGTCGTTAAGTGACACTTTGAATTTTGGTGCGATTCATCTCAAAATGACATAGGAAATCATCTTGCACCCCACAGTTTGAGAACCACTGACCTGGGAAGTTTGAAAAATATCTGTCTAATACATTAAGAGTTGCTATGTTCACTTGCAGTCTCCCTTTAGAAGGATTTTTTGCTGCTACCGAGCACTGTTGCTTCAATTTTGGGGTGATTTGTCTAAAATTAAATTAGATGTAGATATTCATCCATTTAACATTTAAATGGCAATAAAACCCATGAAATATCATGTTTACAATATCAAGTTTTATCATGTTCCCAAGGTCAAATGTCTTCTGCTGTCCCCCTTCCATTGGTTGCCACTAAATGGCAACTCTTGGTGCAATTTGTCTCAAAATTTGGAAAGTACCAGGTCATCCCCCAAGTTATGTGTCTGAAAGGTTGGATAAGCTACATCAAGTACATCATCGCTGAAAACTGCCCTTCTCTTTACTGTCACTATTGGGCACTGCTTCAGTTTTGGTGTATCTGTCTCAAAATTTGACAAGTTTCAGATTTTCAGCGATACAATAATACAATGAGTACAATCTTCAACTCACCACAAAATCATGTTCCTTACATGCCATGTTGTTGCTTCTGTGGAAAACAAAGGGACATTGTGCAAGATGTCTGTCTTTTGCTATCCCACATGTCTTCTGCAAATGATAAATGGATAGTTATTGGAAAGGAGCCCATAGCTTAAAGAGTATCATAGATAGAGTTGAAGACACTCGTAGGAATGTTTGGGGACTGGCTGCTGTCATCTTACCTAGTAAAAGCATCACTCAACAATAACATTAGAAAACCTTGCTGATGAATCTTTAATACACAAGTGATAATTTTCCAAGAGTTGTTTTGATTGAATAAATGGCAAATGTGGTATGTAAATTTACGATTGCTGAATTTGCTTTATTTATCAAACCAATTTTGTATTTACATGGTGAAATATTCTTCCTGTTAGAATGTCAGCATATTTATATTTTCCATACGTTATTGATTATTGGCTGATTGCCCCTCTGGGGGCGGTGGTGCCTAGATCTCGGAGTATAGAGTATATGTGGGGAGTGTGAATGTGTGTACGGCGTTCATTCCTGTGTCTTCATGTTGGGCGAATGGGTGAATATTTGTTTATGTGTGCATGAGGGTGGGAACGTATGCTTGTGTATGTGTACGCCTGTTTGTCTATACGTATGTGTCAGGTTGGGTCTTAGACTCCACCTGAAATAACATCTCAGGCTCTATTCCCCCCTGCCACACTCCCTGCTGGTGGATGAGGCCCCCGGCTGCCAATGCGTTGGTGGTTCTCGATGTCCGGGGCTGGATGCTCTGGTGTGTGCTGGCTCACGCTCGGCGGTTGCCTGCCGGGGCCTGGCCCTTCCGGCTCTGTCGGGGCCCTGGCTGGGGGGTGGGGGGGCCCTTGGATCTCTGGGCCCGGGGTCCGGTCTGCCCTGGTGTCGTCGCCACGGCCCCCTGCGGCTCCTGTGATGTGGCTGCCGGATGGCCCCCCTCCGGAGCGCTCCTCTGCCCTTTTCTCAGTAGGAGATGCAATTGTCCCTGCGGTGGTCCTCCTGGGGTTCCCGTGCCCTGGGGGGCCTCTGGATATCTGGGGCCCGGGTCTCCTCCGTGTCGACTTCATGTCCTGGGTGGGCGGGGCTGTGGCTCCCCACACACACTACTAGACAATTACATCGAGAAACCTTAGGAACACCAGCGCGCTGACACACAGGTGTACACACAGGTGCTCACGGACACATGCTCACGGACACACACTGTCTTGATTGGTTGTTGTTTCTGGGCATGGGTTGTAAGGCTGGTTGTGTGTGCTGTTCAACAACATTTAACGTTTGATGGTCGTTGTGATTAGTACAGATGTTGTATGTTGTCTTTCTCTTTTCAAGCAGATTATCTGTTTTGTTTTTTTCTTGTTTTTTTTTTTCTTTTGTTTTTTTTGTTTTTTCTTTCCATTCCTCTCTCTCCCTCTCTCTCTCTTCCCTCCTTCTCCTTTGTCCCTCCCCTCCCTCTCCTTCTTTTGAGGAAGTAAATAAAAATATAAAATAAAATAAAAAAAATAAAAAATAATAATAATAATAAAAAAAATAATAATAAAATAAATTAATAAATAAATAAATAGATACAGATAAAGTAGTCCCCCGCAGAGGGGGGGTGGAGGAGGGAATATATATATAAAAAAAAAAAAAAGGTTATTGGCTGATGGTTCTATAGATAACTTTAAAATGCTTCAACTGCTGGGGAGCAAGTACAGCTGTTTATTCCATGGAGTCATTTTTTGGCAACTTCTCTTTGGACTCAAGGTTGCTCACATTTGATAACCATTCAAGTATGTTTTACAAGGCAGCCTGATCTAAGCGGTTTCCTGGTTGCACACGAATCATGAATGGGGCATTTCATTGTGTCCATATCCCAGCTTGTAAGACTGTCGTTTTTGACACTAATGAGTAGTTCTTGCATGTCACACTTTTCCACAGAAGCTGCAAAATTATTTTTTTTCTTATGCTCAAAGTCCACTCTTTTTCACTATCAGGTGTATATTATAGAGCTACTAAGTGTAAAATGAGATTAAAGGAATGTTCCAAAACATGAAATAAGGAGACCATCTTCCATCATGGCCTGACATCCTGACTGTGCTTACATCATAAGCTGCTCCACCTCCAGTTCAGGGTAGCAACAAATGTTCCGCCAAGCCAATGCCATCATCCCCATCACTGTCAGGTCACTGGCCTACCACACCCCACTGTTCCCTCTCGCTCGAAAGGTCAGATGTCCTCCACACCCCATTCTGGCACCAGAGGGAGTGAACCTGACACCTTCATATGTACCTTGGCTGTCACCTGCCACGCCTGAGGTAATGGGCTGATTCCTCAGCCCTCACACGCCCCATAGCGCCATATTCCAGGGATCTGACTCACAAGGCTGTGGAACATGGCTGAAGCATTTTTGTCACCTGAGTCATGACAAAATCAAGAGTTGGTCCGCTCCCACAGATTACTATGCAAACTCTTTCACCGCCACTCAAGTCATCTAGCATAAAAATATTGTATAATAATAATAATAATAATAATAATAATAATAATAATAATAATAATAATACTCTGCAACACTTTCCAGGATAAGCAGTCAGAAGATGGATGAATAGATGGATGAATGGATGATTCGACTTTATATTAGAACTTGGGCTCAGAAATTCCACTGTATTTTTTGTATAGCAATACGACATACATCAAGCCTTCAGACGCACCAAGCTTATGGGTTGCTGCCAATTTTTATAATTACATCTCCAAATAAAAAGAGTATCATTGGAACTATATGTTTGTGCCCCTCTAGAAAACAGCATTTGTGGGACGGATCACACTGTTCTTGCCAGTTGGAAAGCATCTGTGTCTGCCAGGCTGAGATGAGCATTACTCCAGGTCTGGTGTCCCTGTTCCATTTTAGAACACTTCTTCCAGGTGATAATCTGTGCAAAAGCCCAATGTGCACTAAGCAATGGAATGACGTAAATCAATGTTGGATACAATATTCGACAACCACTTACAGTAGCAAAACTAACAAATACATATATTTATCTGGGTGCAAAAAAACTTATGATTTTATGTGACATGATTTTTTTAAAGTTGTGTATCAATTAGGGCTACCTCTAGAGAGGCCCCATGAAAATATACCATATGGGGCCCCAACCCAGACCAATTTAATTATGTGCAAAATTTTTAGAGCCTAGAGCCCCTGTCATTCAGAGAAGAGCATAGGTTTGGGAATGTCCATGCTAATACTGTGGGAGTACCGCGTGTGTTTTGGGGGGGCAAGGGAGTTGGGGCTAATTTGGCCCCTGCAATGTTGAAACTAAAACTACGCCCTTACACTCAGGGGTTACACTCAGAATTATCCTAATTTCCCCCCTTACAGCACCCCTAGTGTCAGTCAACTGAACACTGGGGCATCCAATACTTTTGATTTAAATGTTTATAGGTAGTTTAGAAGATAAGTGATTGAAAATATATGATTTCCCCTGTATTTTAGCAAATTTGGTTTATTAGTTAAAATGCTTTAATTTACTATTTCCATATCCTAACAATGTCTGTTGAACGTGTGTAGCAAATTGAAATATTCCATTACAGACATACCACACAACCTGTTCTAATGTAGAGATATTGCATTGGAACATGTTACTAATTAAAGTATGTTAATCTGTGGCTGGTTTAGGTTGCCACAACCTTAATAGTTTCACGGCGTAGACAGCGTCCCTATTTCATAAGGTGAGAGCTAGGACATTACGAGATAAAACGGGACGGACCGAACTTCTTGGCTTTGGGACGGCAATACATTTGTCATGATTCATCAGCGAAGCATTCTCCGTAGGTCCGGAGCTGTGCTCTCTCACCGCGCGATCAGCACTTGGCTCGTTCTCTGGAATGTTCTGATTGGCCAATGGCGTTGAGAGGGTACAGCACATTGGTTGCGAGGCGACGTTCACGTGTAGGGACAACAGCTGGGGAATTCAACGCCCTTTAGGTAACTTTAAAATGATCCGACTGCACATGCTCTTTGAAGCTGTGCACCCGATACGACGGCTCGACTTTACTGCTTATTCCTCATTTCAATTTATTGTTTGTTTCACAAAATTTTTGGCAAGTTCCCGTTGGATTTGAGGTCGCTTGCATTTTTTTTCCTGGGCTTGGAGGAGAAAATTGTAAGTTCCCGGTTAGGGATTTTAGCTTTGTGCATATTTCTTATTGTTTTGCATTTGTTTGGTCGCCTTTCTTTCCATATATTCTGTGAACAAATAATGCGAAATATGTCATGAATTGTGTATGTTGTGCGGCAAGTTTTGTTTGTTTTTCATATCGTAGAGGTATTGATGACGGATACTTTGAAACTTCGGAATGTTATTTCCGCTCTTAATTTGCGTCAATTCAGCAAAATCTTTCATTGTTTTGAGATTAATGCGCCTCACTTATTCTCTAGTACTCCGCTAGCTACGCAATGCATAAACAAAATGTATGAAAGGGCCCTATTTATTATGTTACTAGCGCGGCTTTATTTAGTCTAACGTTACTTAGGATAGCTCCTATCGAGTCTGGTGTATTTCCATGACGTCCAAATTGCCGCACCACTTCATTGTTTCCCCTGCGTGCAAGCTGTCATGGATTAGACCCTTTGCCGCGCAGTTTTTTTTTTGTAGGCAATTACCGAAATTGGTCGATAGTTTGAAAACTCTGTGCTCCTGTTTTGAATGAATATATATAATATATAAACCTGTGAGTTTAATTAGCGTTTTAATTTCCAGGTGTTTCTGATTAAGTGAAACTCCCGGTTAAGCATCCACTGGTGAAGATGAACTGCACAAAGTAAGCATGTAACATTTTGCCTTGGACTGTCATAAATAGCCTGTAGCTGGGTGGGGGATATGTTTGCATTAAGATGACTGCACCCATACCCACTTAGACTATGATGTATGCCCATCTAAGGGTATGTTGCTTATTGTTGCCCTCCACTCCTCTAGGGTGCTGCAGGTGTTTGGTGGGCACACGTATCACCAACAGGCCATGCCAGTGGACCTGGCTGTTAAGCTGTGCCTGAGTCAGAGCCCTCCCTTGCGCCGCCTGCTGGCTGTATCCCCTCTGAAGACCCAGCCACAGTGCTACCCCCCCCAGCAGAGGTGGCGGGAACCTGTGACCGGTCCCCTCCCTTCACGGAATCAGACAGCGGTCAAGACCCCAGTCAGCATCATCAGAACGAGCGGGGGAAGCATGAGGAAGAAGAACGTGGTGTTCGCCGACGCTCTGGGACTGTCGCTGACGGCGATACGCTTCTTCGAGACGGAGGATGACGTGAATCCCTCTCTGCGAGACTTTGGTGTTGTTGCAAAGCCCTTGGGGTGCACTGACAGGGCTTCCGTGCCCGGCTCTGTGGACCAGAGAGCCTGCCACCTGCAGCTGGGTTTCCCTCAGCCCTGGACGGATTTCCCAGCTTTCCATGCGCGCTTGGCCGGAGGCATGGTCCACCTGGAGAGCTGCAGCGTGACGCCGCGAGGGATTAGCGGCACGGTGCGGGTGAGGAACACCAGCTTTGAGAAGGCCGTGCACATCCGCATCACCTTTGACTCCTGGTGCAGCTATCATGACGTTCCCTGCACCTACCTGCAACAGCGTGCTGGAGCTGGCGGAGAAACTGACATCTTTGCCTTTGACATCCATCTACCTCACAAGCTTGACCCTGAGAAGTGCATCGAATTTTGTGTCTCCTATCGCTCCGCTGCTTTTGCCGAGCCCCTGTGGGACAATAACAGGGGACAGAATTACCGTGTCTTTGTCTGCGTAGACCCTGAGGCAGTCTACTGGGCCTCTGCGCGGCAGCCTAATTATGTTAGAAAACCACTGCACGATGGCTCATGGTGTCACCAGCCGAATGGCACCCAGAATGGGCTGAACTGCTCATTTGATAGCTACCCAGCCATCCAGAGCTGGAGTGGCCTGCAGCACATCCTGCCCTTCTGCTAGCATGACTGACCCTTATTGAGAGCTCCTGTAAAGCAGCCGTCCTTCACCATGGATTCCAGGTTCCTGGAGGACAATCCTTTACTGATTTTACTGGTGCTTTTGTGACCACGGTCAGTTAAAGCTAGTTCTCCTTTCAATGCGAGTTTGCACTTTTGGTTAATATGAAGGTCTGAGTCTTATTACAGTTGATCATTTCTGTTTACATCTGAGATGCACGGTCATGAGATTCCTCATGATAGGTGTCCATCACTTGCGTTACTCTGCTTAAAACCACCCCAAAGTTTGACTGAACTGGTGTTGTGGTTCTGTCTTGTGGTTTTGATGCAGGATTTCATCGGGTGATGAATTACTCTAAATTGGTCTTCAACCACTTCAGAGTATGTATGACTTTAATGAAACTTTCTACAGCATTATTATGAATGTGAATTTTTAAATGTTTAGCTATTTATGAGTGAACCTGTTGTGAATTAAATGTTTTGACTCTTTCAATTTCCTTGTCTGACTATTTATATAGTATCCATCTGACCTAAACCCTAAAGATTGATTTAGGGAGAGGTGTGGGATGATTTTTAAATTTGGTGGGGGGGGGGTCCCTCAGTCAGTTTTGCTGACTGGGTGGTGGGAGCAAATTTGGGGGGGTGGGGGGGTTCAAGCTCATTTTACTACCTGCAAATGCACCTAATTGTAGCCAATAGATTTCTTTGGAAGGGGGGGTTAGTTCAAGCCCATTTTACTACATGGCTACATGCCTGATGCATTGTATCCAGCCTGGTAACACAGCTCACCTTTTGGGGTCGTCATAGCTGGGGTGACTCTAGGTTACTGACCCTTTGCTTTCAACTTGGGGGGGGGGGGGGCATTATTGATACTGAGATCACAGTACAGGTATATATCACCTAACACCTGGGTTGTGTTCAGTCCAATTGGATGTGGATGTTAGGCAACTTGGGTGATTTCTGAATTTCATACACGCTATAAAACGTGTACTGCCTCAATAGCAGAAAAACACTTTATAGGAGTATACACAAAGATAATGACATATTACATTAAATACATAACATTATCACTATCAAGTAGTATGGATATAAGTTGGATATACATTGTACCATTATACAGCTGGCAGCGCAGTCGCTTTGTTTACACCTGCTGAACGTGGTGCACTATGGCCGCTTGCATTGCTGGGTCCCATTAGGCAATCAGGATTTGTAACCTTTTGGGGCCTCAGACGTATATTCTGATAGACATTATGTGGAAGGAAGCTAAGCAACACGTAACTGTTGTGTCTCTTCAGATGATGAATCGGAAGTCCTAGGCTGCAGCTTTACAGTGGGGGGAATGATCATTTTAAACTGAAAATCATGAGTAGGTGCCATCAGCATAGCTATAAGCCCTGCTGCTGCACCCCTGCCCTAGATGGCCAGTGGTCGATGCTCCCTGCAGACCACGGTGTGAATTCTCTCCTTTATACCTCTATACGATTTCAGATTAACTGGTTTGTCTTGAGATTCCAGCAAAACTGTGAACTGTAAGTGGTATTATTGCAAAGTGGAAGCGTTTAGGAACAAGAGAAGCCGCCACGGAGTGGCAGACCATGTAAAGTAGTAGCGTCACAGAGTGCTGAGGCAGATAGTGTGTAAAAGTCACCAATGCTCTGTTGACTCGATAACTGCAGAGTTCCAAACTTCATCTGGCATTAACCGCAGCACAAAGACAGCACTGGGAAATTCATGGAATGGGCTTCCATTGCTGAGCAACTGCGTGCAAGCCTCACATTACCAAGGGCAATGCTAAGCATTGGATGGAGTGGTGTAATGCACACTGCCTCTAGATGATGGAACAATGGAAACAGGTTCTGTGGATTGATGAATCATACATCTCTGTCTGGCAGTCTGATGGACGAGTCTGGGTTTGGTGGATGCCAGGAGAATGTTACCTGCCTGACTGCATTATGTCAACTGTACATTTTAGTGGAGGAGGGATAATGGTATGAGATTGTTTTTCAGGGGTTGGGCTTGGTCCCTTTATTTCAGTGAAGGAAATGTTTAATGCTTCAGTAAACCAAGACATTTTGGACAATTCTATGCTTCCAACTTTATAGGAACAGTTTGGGGAAGGACCTTTTCCGTTCCAGCATGACTGTGCTCCAGTGCATCAAGCATGGTCCAAAAAGACATGGTTGGGTGAGTTTGGTATGGAAGAACTTAACAGGCCTGCATAAAGCCCTGACCTCAACCCCATCAAACACGTTTAAACTAGAACGGAGATTGCGAGCCAAGCCTTCACATCCAACATCAGTACCTGACCTCACAAATGCTCTTCTGGATGAATGGGCAAAAATTCCCACAAACACACTCCAAAATCTAGTGGAAAGCCTTCACAGAATAATGGCAGTTGTTATAGCTGCAAAGGGGGGACCAACTCCATATGATTCTATGGATCTAGAATGTGATGTGATAAAAGTTCCTGTAGGTGTAATGGCCAGGTGTCCCAATACTTTTGTCCATATAGTTTATATAACAATGAGTAGCTAGCATCTATATTAAAGAATATGACTTCCACATGATTTCTAACTCAAGTATTTAAAAGGACAAAACTGTCATATACTATTTATCAGTAGTAGTAATAATTACAAATGTTGGAATATTGTGTGTTGGCATTTCATTGGAGACAAGTGGCAATTAAACATTTCAGAAAGTTAAAAAATGACACTACAGGAGATTTAATACATAATTCTGAAGAGAATTATAGACCTACCACATTTTTTGTTTTGTAACCATTTCAGTTAAGTAATTATATCTAAACTAATTTTAAAGTCTAGTTCATTTTGTAGTTTTAAGTTGAAGTGTAATGACACAAACAAAAAAAACAGATTACGGAAGATTTTCCACTATAGCACATATTGTTATAGTTTTGTACAGTAAGTATTAAACTGATCATATATACTAAGCCATGGAATTCTGATGATGTAATCTGATGTCACATTTCAGACTCGTTCCAGCAGGACGAGAAACGGAAGAAACGGAAAGATGAGAGCACCTAGCAACCACAACAGGACAAGTGCTGTCTTGTTTAACGTGCACGAATACATGCTTGCACAAACGTTGGCTGAGCATGATTGGGTGAAGTTAGGACAACTTATAAACATATGCATTTTCACCTCCCCTGGTTAATTGACATGTAAACTTCAAAATATGCGTGTAAAGTCAGGCTGTTTCTTCACACCCCATGATGTCTTAAAGTGGTAGGCCTATGCTTAGTTATGAGCAATACAGAAAGACGAGACCGTCGCTAAGCTTTCAGGAATTTAAGGCATGTGCTTTGTTGACATGAAGCGTGTAAGCTTGTGGGTGTGAAGGTTTCACAACTTTCGTCAGTTCCCTCTGACATTTCCATTCGCTCTCATAAATCTTAGCGGTTACCTAAAAAAACACAAACTACAGTCATATTTCTTTTTCAGCATTTACGATAGTTATACAAGTCATGAAAATCTGCCTTTTCTGGCCATGGGTTTATTCTGTTTTAAAACGAAATTCATGCAATTAGGTTCATGGCTTGTGCTTTAAAGATTCTGATCATCGAGATACAGCAGTTCTGGGATCTTAATTTAACTGAGTTTTATCAAAGGAGTACTTTTATCCGTTTTAACAGACTGCCATGCCACATTTTATTCATAACGAATAAACTTAGGAGTAACTGCAACGTCAGCGTTATGAAAGAGTACGTCTATGGCCATGATAGCAAGACTAGGATGTCGCACTAATTTGTCACTGTCATCAGTCTAGTTATGACATGTATCTACGTTAGTTGTCGTCTATGGTTACAGTAAGGGTATTTTGTGTGGTTTTATGCGTATACATTTCAGACAATCATTGTGTAAGTATTCAGCGCACCAACGTCATACCAAACTATAGTTAAGCTTCCTCTCTGAAATATGTTAGCTTAATTGACAAACGCCCTATTGACGGGCGTATGCCGGTTCGTGCACATGAAAATATGCTGTTGTTGTTATAGGGGGCTAGAAAAACATACTAAACTACATAAATTGAGCACGATAAACTTATGTGGAGATGTGCAATGTTTCACAAAGATGTTTTAAATAGTATCACTTTTATGGGTTTCTTTTTGACGAAAATTACCAGAATACACCAAAAACATGTTTTGAAACACTTATTCGAATTAAACGTAGCCTTCTTCCACATGGGTATCATAACAACTTAAGGGGGGGCTTTAAGAATTATGAATGTGCGTTTTCATCCCCAAAATCCAAATGCGTCGCAGGATTTTTTTTTGATAAATGTGCCAATTACTCCCTCTAATGGTAGCTTTGTACAACTGGACTAAACTGAAACTATCATCCATTTCTTTTTGTAATTACTGTATTAATACTGTACATGTATTAATCATGTTAAATTTAGTTGAATAAATTGAATATGGAATTTCATTCATTTTTCACAGCTGTCCCAATAAGTCTAATAATTGCTTATACTTGTACAAGTGAGCATTTTCCGAACAGAACAGTATAAAGTACACACTGGACAGGATGCCAGTCCATCACAGGACAAATAATCGCACACACTGCAGGAAATTTAGAGGTGTAAGTTACCTGAATTGTTTTTTCTCTGCACTGCGGGGGGTGACCCGCGAGATCCAGGTAGAGCATGCAAACCACACACACGCAGAACAAAGGTGAGATTTGAACTGCCAACCCTGGAGATCAAGTAATAGTGATAACCCCAGAGAGACCCATGCATAAAACGTTAACTCCACTAGGAGAATGTGCTTAAATATTAATGTATAACAGCTCACTCAACTCGTATTAAAAGTATTTTATAAAGTTGTGCAATTGTGTATATAAACTGCAGGTGTTTGGTTTGACGATTTTTTAAAATAATTTAAATTCCGTTAATAGCGATATTGTGTACAAAATACAGCAAACATACTACACCAGGTAAATACATATAAGATTTTACGGCTCCGTTTAAACGCAAACCTTATGAGAAGAAGATAAGTAGCTCTGACGTAACGGAGGGGGGATAGCAGTGGGCCCGCCGCCAGGTGTCGTTTGCACATCTTGAGGAGGGGGTAGCCATGACGCGGGAGCCGATCTGAGGCCCTGGTTTGGCCGAGGCACCAATTTGGGTAACGTAACATAACTGGACGTTTCAGCACAAAGACGGGGCGCACTGCGCCGCCGAGCAAAGCGAGCGGCCGCGGCTCGGGTGAGTGTCCGTGCGGCCAGCGTGTACAAAATACCACCGCTTGCAATGCGCTGCACTTTGTGAGAGCCGTACTGGGCCAGCAAGCGAATCCCGGGCTGATGAGCGGAGCGTCATATAGCCATCTTGCTATTGGGAGGCAGCTGGATGCTATCGACATGGATATGAACTTGTGGTGCCGTCATTTTGGGGCCGTCTGTGCCGGTAAAACTGGTCGGAGACATCGCGTGACTAAAGAGAAGTTGAGTCGCTCGCGACTTTTCCATGATTTAGTACTGCATTGTTCTAAAAACGGAAGGATGATGGGCGGCGGTGATCAGCTAGCGGGACGGACCGTGCTCAAACCTTGACGTTAGCCAGCCACGCTGTTAATCTAGACGTTACTAATCGGGTTAGTTAATCTTATCAGGGCGCTGTAATTAGTTTCCCCGCTAAAAGCTGTACCGGCTATCCTTCGACATGCACCTTAACGGCTGGAGTTCGTAGTTCAGTACTAGTTACACCGATAACTACCGGCTTGAAGCGACCGGTAGTCCCCGCTTTATCCCTGGAACTGGACCGGCGCGAGACGTGCTCGCGCTTGACGTGCTGTTCGGGTTTCTGACCCTCGGCATGTGGGAGCCGCATCGGGAGCCAGGCGATTTTAATTAGCTACATGTTATGGTGTAACATATAATAAGTAAGTAATAACTCCAATGTCGTGGTCACCGACTGGAACAATGGGTGCAGAACAAACGGTCTCTTCACGAACGGCGAGAAGTTAAACTGTGGACTGACAGCTTCGGCGAACTCCCGAAATCCAGTAGAGTTTGACTTAAACGGGACGCCGAGGAATAACGACGGAATAAGAAGTGATTTTACATCGGTGTCCTCGGTGAAGTAGTACTGATATCCGGATGCCGAGTTAGCCGATGGGCGGGCAGATTCTTTCCGACTCACATCCAGCCAAATAAGCACAGCAGCATGTGGGACACAGGCCGGGGGAGTGTATCGGAGATGCTCAGACTCCCCCGTGAGGGACACCGTTTACCCACTAACTAATGTGAGCACACGTGGGATTCAGAATCTGTGCGCAAACCTCCCCCAGGGCTTAAGCAATTAGTAAGATACAACTGTTGCAACAAGAGCAGAAGTCATAGGATGAAGAAACATAGCTTTTTCTTAACTGTACGCAATAATTGCCGTTTGAGTTAATGTGTGCATCTATGACTTCCCAAAAATGGACTGGCTGTTAAGGCTGGCCCCTATCTAACGCATTTCCCCTACTGGAGTAGGATTTTGACCACCACAAATTAAAATGTTGAATGAATCATTTAACCAAGCTTATGATTAACTTTATTGACTATGTCTTTTTGTGAGTAGTGAAAAGGACTTTTTTTTTAACCCATATAAGTAATGCAATGTCATTGTGATGTTTGTGTGTGTAGTTTTTCCATCGATTTTTTTTTAGTATTAGTATTCTTAGGCCGAATACTAATTCGGAGAAATTTAAGAAATCATTCCAGCCAGTCATTCTGTGACCATCAGAAAGTTGGGAACCATTACTATAGATATTTCCTAATGACCCTTTTGTATGTTTCTGTATAGGAGATCACACACCTTAGTCCTTATAGTCTGGTCCATAAGACTCCATATACACATGTTGCATTTTAAGCATTTAATTAATTAGTTGCACTTGTATTTGTCCTTATTTGGCTGTCTAGCTTTCTCTGTTAACATGTATGCGACTGACTTGGTGAGATGAACAAATGTGTCTTTTTTTTTTGTCATCAGGTAAATTGTACTGAATCCTGAAGACCCCTGCCCTTTGTATGTCTAAAGGATTGCTTCAAATGTGTCTTGGGAGACGGGCATCGGTATCTGTCGAGATGGATTCCTGTTTGTCTGGGCCAAGGGGCATCACACTCCACGCATCTGCATGAAGGCTCTTTGGAAGTACGGGCTGCAAAGACTGACACTATAGAAAAGTACAGACCAGGATCGACCTCTCTGAGTCGCTCTCACTGAGCAGGGACACCCTCTTCTCTCAGGCCGGCAGCCTGCCCTCCCCAGCAGCTGTCAGAATGGCCTGGTACATCTTTCCCCTGAACAACCTGCTCTGTATGCTTCTGGGCATTTCCTTCACTGTGTGGTTCACCCTGCTGCTTGTTTTCATCATCGTCCCCGCCATTTTTGGTGTATCCTTCGGCATCCGACGGCTCTACATGAAGACCCTGCTCAAGATCTTTGAGGTGAGTCTGGTCAGCAATGTCTATCAGCGATTTTTTGTGAGTTTTCTGCTCTGGGGTGGCTGCTGTGCTTTCAGGAATTGTAATCTCCAGTCTGTGGGCGGTTGCTTAAATTACACATCTGCACTTTACATCAGTAATATAAATTATTCCCAGTTCTTAGTTTGCAATAATTTCCTGCTTTTTCTGCAGGCAGGTAGGGTGACAAATACACTGAGATAGGGGGGGATTTTTAGGTGAGATGTACAACCTAGTCATTTTTGCTTAGAGGGTAGAGTAATATTTTTAAAGCAGAAATAAGTTTGGTTACTGTATACATGTGGCTTTTAGTTGTAAGGTATATTTTGTAATATATTGTTCAAACTCTTAAATCACAGTTGTCAGTCTTAAGTAAACATCCATATAGTACTGAAAAGCTGGCATTTGGACAGATTGGTATGCCCGTTATTGAAAGCCTTGATTAGTCTACCCTAAAATACTTGGTGAAATAACCTGTTGTCCTCTCAAGTTTCTAGCCTCCTCTTTTATTTATTTTTTTGGTAATTTTGGTATGTAAATAACTGATGTTTGATCTGTTTTAGTTGCCTACGTGGCTGTGTTTGCTTCAGCCTTCTTTCTGATGATACAGGGATGAGTTCTACCATTTTGTAGTCTCATTTACCTTGCTTTACTTTAAGTTTGTCAGGTCTGTTATCACAGTTGATCTAGCAGCTTATTGCAGTGTGTCACCAAATGTTTACCATGTTTACGTCACCTTTTTACTTGGTCTGGGTCAATTGAAGTGAAGCGTGTCTGCTTGTATGTGTAACTTTTACTGTTTTAGTAAAGAGGGTTCGCAGCTAACATGAGTCATGTTCTAGTTATATGCAAGCCATTCAAATTTTGTGTATTTTAATCTCCTTAATGTGAAAAGAATAACATGTTGTTTGTGTCATTTTGACTAGTGCCAATAATATACTTGGGGATATATACCAGTGTATTAAAATTTCATGATTTAAATGAGCGTAAAACCCGAACCCATTATAATGATACAATTAGAAAGGACCAAGCAATATGAGAAGCATCAACATCTTTGGTGTTTTGTAGCTACGTGTTTGTTGGCATGCTTCTGTCCTCTCTGTCTTGTCACCTGGCCCGCTGTGAGCCTTTGGCTGACCGTTCTGCTTGGATATCCTCAGTGCCGCCTTCCCTCTTGTTTTAGTGGGCGACTCTGCGGATGGAGAGGGGAGCCAAGGAGAGGAATCACCCTCTATACAAACCCTATAGTAATGGTGAGTCACTTAATTGGCTCTCTGCATTACCTTGACATGTTTTTGTCAGTTTGTGTGGGACTCTACCTTGGATATGCCTGGTAACTCTTTAGCTATTATTTTATTGGCTTTAATAGCAAATTAAGCCCTCTCTCTGTCTCTCCCCTCCCCGCTGCCCCATCTCTCATCTCTGCAGGCATTATCGCCAAGGAGCCAACCTCCCTGGAGGAGGAGATTCAGGAGGTGCGGCGTAGCGCCAGCCCTCGGGAGCTGGGCTCCGGCGGCGCGGCTGAGTTCGACGTGTCTGACATCTTCTGCTTCTGCCGGCGTGGGGTGGAGAGCATCGTGGACGACGAGGTGACCAAGCGCTTCTCTGCCGAGGAGCTGGAGTTCTGGAACCTGCTGACGCGCAGTAGCTGCCACTTCCAGCACCTTAGCCTGAGGCTGACCGTGCTGTGGGGCCTGGGGGTGTTCATTCGCTACGGCTTCCTGCTGCCACTACGGTGAGCGTGGGCCAGCACCGGGTGACTTCCAGCTTCATCAAGCAGTGCCTGGGTGGTGTGTGGCTCCGCAGAAATTGCATGTTCGAATCCCAGGAATAGTAGAGTAATCGTATCACAAGTGGGCCTTTGATCCAGGCTCCTATCCCCAAGCACTGCTTCATGGATGCTCCTGTGGTTTGACCCCAAGCTTTGCTCTTATCTGTGTGTCTGACTTTGTCATTGGAGACCAAATGGGATATGTGGAGACTGAAATTTCATCATACTTGCTACCTGTGCAGTGACTGTAATGGCATCTTCTGTCTGTATTTCTTAGTGAAACGGTCATGTGACCTGGGCATCACCAATGATTAGGCGCTTCATCAGTCTGATATGTGGCCAGCTGCCCAATTTGTCAGACATGTCCCTGGTGGCATTTTGTTAAATTGGCTTTTGGCCAGTGGGTTGTGTAATACTTAATGAACAAAGAGAATATCATAGCTCTAAACCAAATGTGACTCAAGAGGTCTCAGGGACACATATTTAGAAGTAAGAGTCAGCAGCTGTACTCCCAAAAAGACCATCATTTTCAGGTGCTTTTACAGGCCATCTGTCTCAGCCACTCAAAAAATGCATGCATACTGTAGTTACACTGTTAGTTTTTGTGGGTCAGACGGAATATTTCAATGGCCTGTAGACACGTGCTCACAACTCAAGATGCTGAGATTTACACCTGGTGAACACCTGCACAGCGAACAGGTTCTCATAACTGCTGCTCTTGTGAACTGCACATATTTGAACAATGAGAGATAGTGAGGACTCTGACTTTAATCTAACTACTAATTTGTGGATTTAGAGCCAACAACCTTCTGGTCATAAGCTCAGATTGTTGAGATGCGTTCTGTGGATGTTTGAAAACAAGGGCACAATGATCATGGGTCATTATTCCTGACACTGAACTGCCTGGATTGACGTATGTGCCTTCCCGCTGCCCCAGGGTAACTCTGGCCTTCACGGGAGTGGGTCTCCTAGTGGTGCTGACCACAGTGGTTGGCTTTCTGCCCAGCGGGAGGTGAGTCGTGCTGCGTGTGTTCTCGCATGAAGGTGAACACGTGCGTGGTTGCACATGGCCACACAAATACTTAGCTAGTACAGCGTTATCATCGAAGCAAATGTCTTTTGCATGCCTGGTGAATACTAAATATCCATACCTTCTAGTGTGTACACAGGTGTAACAGTAATCATACCCCAGTTTAGTGTGAGAAGCTACATTGATCGATGGTGGTCTCTCCTCTAAGCAGCATATTTATGACTCTCTTGCTTCCCACAGGCTGAAGAATGCCCTCTCTGAAAAGATTCATCTCATGTGCTACAGGATCTGTGCACGGGCCTTGACCGCTATTATCACCTATCATGACAGGTACAGGGCACGCACATGGGCGTCTTACTTATGTCTGAGCTCCATTTCCCCCTGCGTCCTATGTTTGGCATTTCTAAAAGGAGTCTCTAGTGTTTTATTTTTCGTCGCTTTTTTCCCTACCCTTTGCTGTTTTGTCTCTCAAAGTGCAGGCCTTCACCCAGCTCAGTTTTAAAGACATGTTTCAGGTCCTTTCGCAAAGCACCTTCACTTTACCTAATGGCATGTTTTCAGGCTAGCTACTTAGCTACTGAGCCTTTATATTGAGAAGCGCCTGCAGGTATGTCAGTCAGCAAGTTTAGCAAGTGTTGTTTTTTTAATTCTGGTAACACATCGTTGTGTAACAATTGAGGCAAAGGCTGAAAACCTCTCTTGCATGTTACAGGGTGATTGTGACGTGTTGCTCAACTCTGCCAAACATCCAAGAACAGAACAGACTGTTCTAGGTGATTGTTTCTCTTGGCAGAATGATACTCCTCTGTACCCATCCAGGGTGTCTCCTGTTCTTCTTGGAATCAGCTGCAGACTCCGTGTCACCCTCTATACCATGGGTTCCCAAATGTTTCGGCCCATGATCCTTGAAATAAGTGCCAGAAACTCATTACCTCCATTTTGCTGATTTGTGTTCACATCCTTATTTTTTTTTTTACAAATGTACACCATATGGACAAAAGTATTGGGACATCTGGCCATATTACCTGCAGGAACTTTTCTGGCATCCCATTCTAAATCCATAGGTATCAGTATGGAGTTGGTCCCCCCTTTGCAGTTATAACAGCTGCCACTCTTCTGGGAAGGCTTTGAAAACCTAGAATTGTCCAAAATGTCATGATATGGGTTCCAGGGGTTAATGGGATGGGGGTGTTTTTCAGGGGTTGGTTTAGGCTCCTGAGTTCCAGTGAAGGGAACTCTTAATGCATCAGCATACCAAGACACTTTGGATAATTCTATGCTTCCAATTTTGTGGGAACAGTTTGAGGAAGGCCCTTTTCCATTCCAGCATGACTGTGCCCCAGTGCACAAAGCAGGGTCCATAAAGACATGGTTGGGTGAATTTGGTGTGGAAGAGCTTGACTAGTCTGCACAGAGCTCTGACCTCAACCCCATCAAACACCTTAGAAATGAACTAGAATGGACATTGCGAGCCAGGCCTTCAGGTCCATCATCAGTGCCTGATTGTATAAATGCTCTTCTGGATGAATGGGCAAAAATTCCCACAGACACACTCCAAAATCTAGGAAGAGTGGCAGATATTACAGCTAGAAAGGGGGGGACCAATTCCATATTGATGCCTATGGATTTAGAATGTGATGTCATAAAAGGTCCTGTGGGTGTAATGGCCTGGTGTCCCAATACTTTTGTCCTTTATAGTCAGGGATTGACATAACTGGAACTCAAATACGCATTCACCTTTAAAAGCGTGAAGGTTAGAGGTTAAAATGCACGATAAAAGCGTAGAGGTTAAAATGCACGATAATTTCTTGTCATATTGGCGCACATTAACATAAAATATACACATTCACGCTGTTACAACAATCGATTGCCGCACGTATCGCTTTTAAAGGTGAATACATACTTGGGTACCAGTTATGTCAATCCCTGCTTATAGTGTTCATTGGAAATCATTTCTTGACCACCTACCAGTGCTTTAGTGGATGGATACCGCAGCTGGGAATTGGTGCACAGTAAATATACATAGGGGTTTGTGCCTGTTGGTCAACTTCTGACTCTCTGTCCACAGTGAGAACAAACCCAAGAACGGTGGCATCTGTGTAGCCAATCACACATCTCCCATTGACGTCATCATCCTGGCCAGTGATGGCTGCTATGCAATGGTAGGTGGGAACTCCAAACCAGTGGGCAGTGATGTTCTGTGTGCCTGCATGGAGGGGAGGGGTGGCTTGTGATGACCCTAAGAGCACTGTGTTCTCCCCTTAGGTGGGCCAGGTGCATGGGGGGCTGATGGGGATCATTCAGAGGGCCATGGTCAAGGCCTGTCCCCACATCTGGTTTGAGCGCTCTGAAGTGAAAGACCGACACCTGGTGGCCAAACGGTATCACTGCAAGCTCAGCCGCTCCCCATCACTGTTTCTGCATGGTGGTAGGCCCTGGCCTCTTCCTCACATGGTGGGGCCCACAGCGGCCTTTCCAACCTGTCTTGCCTGTACCAGAACATCCCTTATGTCTGCTGAGCTGGCTGAGGAGCTCATTGGATGTGTTTGGCAGGAAATGGATTCGTACATGGTCATGATTTGTAACATGTCATTTCACGCAGAGGTCTTTTAAACATCACAGTTTAACGCAGTTTTTTTGCCAAAACAAATGTTGTCGTTTGTTTAACCTGTTTGATGGGGTTATTTTCTGATGAAGTCCTAAGTCTAATATGAGTATGGTATGATATGACAGACTTGAGTGTTTGGTAGACATTATATAAAATTTGGTTAAACAGAAAAAGAACACCATACAATGCATTGTTAAATGCTGTATGTGATGTTGACACTCAAGATAGCTGCAGAGACTGGAAGCATGGCTGTGTGGATGCCATCATCACCCAGCATTAGTAGAAAGTATTGTATGGATCATTGCTATCCCAACATTGTAAAGTGAGGAGCATCTCTGTTTTATACAGGTAGTTCTTGACTTTATGAGCTCATTCGTTCCAAATTATCGCTCATTAATGGAGAACTCGAGAAGCAGGAGGTATTTTCCCATATGAGGTAAGGATCGTGCACTGATTACAGTGCCTTGCCACACCCACCACACGACAAACCACCTCAGGGATGAGAACCTGAGTGCAGCCATGTGGTGGGTGATACTTCAGCACCACACTAATCCGAATGGTTGCTGGAGTGCCAATCCTACCACCAACCCCCAGATTTCCCTATAAGTTGGAGGACCACCTCATAGGGCTGGATGTAGATTAACATCATACCCAAGACAAAGCAATTGCAGGTTAAGGGCTGTGCTGTAGGGGCCGGCAGAGTAGAATCACTCTGGGCATTCATAGGATCTGAACCAGCAACCTTCCAATTGCTGAAGCCACCACTCCACCCATAGAAATGTTATAAAAATGATGACATTCCAGCCAAAAAATTATGAATTTTTGCCAAATAGACAAGGGAAACGCAAACATATTATTAGACTTAACATTTAATCAAATGTGCATTTAAACAAAAAATCCTTGGAGAAAAAAAAACCCTTTGCTGAAATGGTAACTTTCAGAGTAAATTTTGGACACTTTGATTTTCAGGAGATGGGTTGGTTTTTCTTTAAGTAGCCCATTCTGAGCTGGTGGAGCTCGCTTACAAACAGTATGTAGAATGAACCTGGTGTATTAAGGGGGATCAGGTTGGGTAGAGAAACGAAGCGGTACAAATCCGACACCATCATAAAATATGACTTGAAGCAGTGGTCACCAGCCCTGCTCCTGGAGTTCTGCCACTCTGCAGAGCTGAGGTGCTGCCCAGATTCAGCAGTCCTGATACACTTGAAGGGCCTGATTATCTGTATCTCAGTACCATAGACTTATTAGCTTTAACATAGCCGGCTCCAGTGCTTTTCTGTATCAGGTTTGTTAAATTATGGCTGCACCTAAACTCTGCAGGGTGGTAGATCTCCAGGAGAAGGGTTGGTCACCACTGCCTTGACGTGTAATGCTGCGCACGCGCAGACATTCAAGGTGCAGATGGGGCATGCAGAGCCAGATATTTCACAAAGCAAAGTCCTGAAAGTGTTTTTGGGTTGGGTTTTGGGTTTGAGTTGCATGCAAATTAAAAAAAAAAAAAAAAAAGATATGAATAGGAACTTTTTGTTTTTCTTGCAGAGAATTCTTGTAAACTCATAAATCAGGAGCTCAGAAAGCGAGAACTACCTGTAGTCATAAATGCTGGTCTCCCCTTGCCTTTTTCTCCCTCGATATCTTTTTCTTTGATCAAACATCGAGACCATCCTTCGCATAGAAATCATTATTTAGTCAGCGCTATCCAGGCTAATGTTTCACTCAAGAAATGAAATGACCTGTGAAATGAATGCTAGCTGTGTGGGTAATTGCATTATGAATCTCCCTTGTGCTGTGTGGGACAGCTACACTGCAGTCAGAGGCAGTGCTGATATTGTGGAACGCCCTGCTTCCTGTCTTCCAGGCTGAGTGACCATGTGGAGGACAGGACTAAACTGCCTATCCTCATATTCCCTGAAGGTGAGTCGGCTGGGGGCGATTCTTCAGAGGTCGCCACATTGGTGTCTACTGGCTTATGGCAGACATTTTATTCAGATTTCAATGGAATCCTGGTATCTAGTGGCAATTATTGCCTGGTTGACAATATCTCTCTAAAGATTGTTATAGATCTCTATAGATCATTGTTTCTGCGTAAAGTGTCTCTGCAGAGTGCATTCTCCTCATATGGGTAGTTTGTCTCTAGTTCTGTGTTTTGGTACGCTGTGGGGTCCCACGTAACCGGACATGGGCTATTTCCATGCAGGTACCTGTATCAACAACACTTCCGTGATGATGTTTAAGAAGGGCAGCTTTGAGATTGGTTCCACCGTGTACCCAGTGGCCATCAAGGTAGGTGTCATTCCACTGCCCCCATTGCCCTCCACACTCTCTCTACTGTACTCCCCATTCTTCCAGTCTTCTCATTGTTCTCTCCCTCGCTTCTGATTGGCTGTCAGTATGACCCCCGGTTTGGCGACGCATTCTGGAACAGCAGCAAGTTCGGCATGGTGGCCTACCTGCTGAGGATGATGAGCAGCTGGGCCATCGTGTGCAGTGTCTGGTACCTGCCCCCGATGCAGCGAGAGGTGAGCCCACACTATGCGTGTTTGCCCCCACCGGGTATTCCGTGTCCAGTTTGTTCATATGTGTCCCCGCGTGTCCCTGTGTAGGATGGGGAGGATGCCGTGCAGTTTGCAAACAGAGTCAAAGCAGCTATCGCCCGCAAGGGGGGTCTGGTGGACCTGCTGTGGTGAGTACAGGGGACCTCGGCCTCAGGCACGCTCACGCACCAGGAGATGCACGTACATGTGCGTGTCTGCCTCGCCGCAGGGACGGCGGACTGAAGCGAGGGAAGGTGAAGGACGTGTTCAAGGAGGAGCAGCAGAAGCTCTACAGCAAGACGCTGGTGGGGAACCACGAGGACCGCGGCCGCTCGTGAGGAGGGAAGCAAGAGCGCCCCCTCCAGCTCAGGCTGCACCAATGGGTTCTGCGCTCCAGTCAGCAGTCATCCTGCCAGTGTTCCCCCAAAGCCCCAGTGGACCTGTAGCGATAAATCCTACTTCAGCGTGTTTTTTTTTTTTTTTTTTTTTTTTTTTTTTTTAATCTTCTGTTTGTCCTTCCATTTGTCACGCACAGAATCTCACAGGTTTACCTCGCAATGCTATCAGCAGACTGATATTCTGCCTACGGGTCAGCTGACTGTGTATTTTTTATTTTATTTTTTCCCCCTTCACCCACTGGATGTTGTCTGTTGTTCTGTTAAATTTTTAATACATCACTGTTCTTATTAACTTTGCTCTTGGGGCAAACATCATGAACGTTAATATTTATTATCGTTAATGCAGTGGGTGGTAATGGGCTTATGTAGGCCAGTATCCAAGTGGAGGGAATGACACTCTGTGGCTTCTCAGAGATGACCTTCTGCACGAGCCTGGCTCTCCTTGACGTGGAAGTCCTAGCAGTAAAATGTCACACTTTTGGAATTATGTTTAGGACTTCCTTGTATTTGTTTTGTAAAATAAACAAGTACACAGCCTTGTTTAGATTCCCACGGCCTCGGGAAATAACCTCAATGCCTCTCATCCAGAGCTTAGGTTGGTTGGGTTGGATAGCCTGAAAATGACCCATAATGTTGATCTGATTCACTACTCGGTCATTTCTGTACTATAGTATTAGCCTGTAATTACGACCAAGCTTACGCTGTGAAAATTGTACTAAATTTCTTTTTCATAATGTAATATGTTGTAATATGATGTTAGCTTGCTTGTATAGGTGCCTTACAGTGATGTATACCATTGACTGAATCTTGCCTAAAATTACTTCACAATAGATTCAGTTTTGTATTCCCTTCTCCTCCACGAGGGGACTTTGCCCACGGCACAGCGTCTGACTGAAGTTAGGCTGAGCAGCATACTCAGTTATTCAGTTGGTTCATGGCAGTGTCAAGTAGTTGCATATTGAAATATCTTTAGGGCTCTTGACTGTTCCAAACAAAATGTTAATGATTCCACCTGTCTTGAGCTGCTGTCCAAGTTTGTGGACTAAATGCAACAAATGCGTGTTTGTTTAAAGCTCCTTAAATGTAATCCTTTACACTGATCCTTGAGTGTCCGTCATTGGTGTAACCATAGTAACTGGACACATGGGGCTCCACCGTTGAAGGGAAGGAAGGTCAGAGCGGTGTCTGAGTCGGAACATTGTGGACACCGCCACCGAAATACTTCTGTCTGCTTCGTTTTTAGTTCTTTCACAATATGCCACAAAATCGACATTTGCTCCTTTTAAATTCATTCCTCCACATACTTTTTCCATATTATGACTAAGTTTGCACTTTTCAAAGTATGCAGCAATCAATGGCCGTTTGTCATTTAAATAGATTCAGGGTTTTCAAACCTTTACTTGTTTAGTCATTGCATTTTCTGTCTGACTTAAGGTAGACTAAAAAACGACCCTGCCTATATTTGCAAAGTACACAGTCTTTCACCTCTAGCCCTCACGCTACACCACTGTGACCACATGCTGAGGTGACTCCCTGTGCCGTGAAGTTTTGTGGTGACGATGGTGTGAACTCCTTACAGGTATCATGTGAGCTGTTCAGAGTAATGTTGCATACAGGATGTGGCTTCTGAGCTTCTCTGCTTCAGTGATGCACGTGTTTACGGCAAGTGGTCAGTCTGATCTGCAGTAAAATCCTGCTTTCCATGTTCACCCTGGCATCTCAGGAGGTAGTGAGATCACACAAGCAGGCACATTCAGAAATGTGGCGTTCCATTATATGGGTAAGTCATCATTCCTTCCTTGGTTTCATGCACCAGTTGTGTTTGTTTTTGTTATAGCTGTGTGTGGAGTAAAGAGGCAATTCTTTGTCTAAACAACATAAGAATCTTACTGCTGAAGTTTGTGCGTTCATTAGAGCGGCAAAACTCCAGTGTGTCCATAGGGTAGCAGCAGTTTCAAATCGTCCAGCATGTTGACTAAGTGGAAACTGAAACGTGGCTGGGTGACAGATGGGAGTGCATGGAGTTTGCTTTGGTTATGAAAAGGGATGTGTGGTCTGTGCACTGCCAGTAGGTGGTGACCTTTCTCATCAGTGAACCTTTTACCTCTGGATACGCAGAGGTAAAATGCTATTGCTGCTATTTGGGCTCCTGCGCCAATAGTAATGAATTTGTCTTGGGGATTAACTAATGTTTGAAAGTAGTAATATATTTAACTCTTTTTTTTTTTTATTATTAAATATTATTAATTTGTTAAAATTGAAATCTGTATTATCTTGTGCTGAGCAGTTAGCAAACTTTGTCCCACCCAAATTTTTCATTTTAATTAGAATCTTGAATATACTTCCCATCCCAGAGTACCCTGCTCGTACCGTAGTAGGATACAGTGGTTCCTGTTCCATCTGTGGAGTGCAGTATGTTCAGTTATTCTGCAATGTTACTGATACGTTTGCTTGTGAGTTAGTGAAGGTCAGTGCCTGGGCTGATGGGGAAGATGCTAGAGTTAATGGGACATGTGATCAGTTTCAGTTTATGCTCCCTCTTGGTGATATTTCTTCCTCTCTCTCTGCGGGAGTTCTTCCCCTCACCACTTTCTCCTGGGGCCTCCTCTCAAGGGACCAGGACTCATAAAAATGCTATCGCTGCTATTTGGGCTCCTGCAGTATTTTTTGAGTAAGAATTTCCTCACTTATTTGATCTGACCACTATTAGTCACAGATTTAGCTTTTTTTAGGCAGAAGTGAAGCAGAACCTGCATCTGAATGACCTGGGAACATAGAAGGGCTTGCTCTGCTCTGTTATGCTTATCTGTGTTTTTTAATTACCTGTTTTAAATTGCTTTTTCTGAATGCTTTCTTGCATGTTCAATATCTTGATCTCTTCTTGTTTCTCTGTTATCAGTAGGTGTTTTGCTGTGTATGTGCATTCTGTGAGGTGGAGGTGCTTTTCTTCTCCACTCTCACGTTTTCCCCTGAACTCTCCTGTCTGAGTATTGCTGAAACCTAGAATATCATGGCAGCCTGATTCAGGATCCAAGCTTTGGGCAAAATGGCAGGAATCACGACCGTGTCTGTCTGCGCTCTGATAGGAAGCAGGTTTTTTGGGTGACCTCAGCGGAGAGTTAACAGGTATCAACAGTCTGACACAGTTCCAAAGGTAAACTCTGCTCTAGTTTTATTGTAAAATAAATTCAGTGATTACATAAAAAAAATGCGAGAGGCATTTTGCCCAAACTATCCAATGTCAACTTGAACTTGTACAAGAGCTTTAAAGGTACTGAGTGCCACTGTCTAACCTTTGCCCACCTGCCCCCTGCATAAAGAGATTCCTCTGAAAATAAATAAGTTTTGTTTCTAAATGAAGCACCATGAAAGTCTGTAAGTGTTCTTGGACCTGTTGGCTTGGTCTTCAGCTGCTCTGAAGTCCCATGTGATCTGTCCAGTTGCAGTTCCTTGTTGGTATGGTGCAGCTCTCAATACCTTCAGTATTCGATCCCAGATCACTCCCAGTACATTGCTGGAATGGTGAGGATTCTAACTATATACCAGATCTCTGCCTGATTAGCCCTCACTGAAGGGAATGGGGGAGGGGACTGTGCATTTTACTTCAAGAGATTTGATGACAAGTCTAGTTTCTCTATTTCGTCTAATCCTGACCAGTGGGTGGGACAAATAAATGAGAGCAGACAGGCATTCAGCTCTCCATGGAGTTCCCTGTGTGTGAGGGCGCCTGTTCTTCCTTGGGCATAGCTGTGGGTGCGTCTGATTGCCATTTCTTTGTAGTAACTGGGCAGAAATATATTACTGCTTATCATGTGTCTGTTTGTGCCTTCGTGTGTCAGACATGTATGTGTGTTTCATGCCTCGCTGGGTCAGACGGAATGTGTTTGCGTACCTTGGGGTGTGTGTGTGTCAGACAGGGTGTGTGTTTGTTAATAAGGAGGGGCTCTGTGTACCCGTGTACCTGTATGTGTTAGACACAGTGTGTAAGTGCCACAGATGTGCTCCTTCCCTGTGTGCATGTATCAGGGCTGTGTATGTGCCTTCAGTGCAGACGACTGCTGCTTTCTCAGCATACTTCGAAGCTTCTTGTTGTCATCGTCATCTTCGTCGGGGTCCAGGGGCTTGTTGTAGGCCTCGTCCTCCATCTCACCTCCCCACAGACCTGCACCCTGCTCCCCGGGCGATGGCTGTGTCGAGCTGGGCTCCGTGGCACTCTTCTTCCTCCATTTGGTGCGCCGGTTCTGGAACCACACCTGGGGGAAAAGGAGAGGAGGAATCTTCCTAGCCTGGTCCACACTTGCTCACTTCTTTTGTTCTGGTTGAGATAGTGGTGAAGCTGACAGGCATTGTGTGGTATGCATGTATGCATCTGTGCACACGCGTGTGGTGCATGTATGTATCTGTGCACACGCGTGTTGTACCTTGACCTGGGACTCAGTCATGCCTAAGGAGCGGGCTAGCTTGCTCCTCTCTGGGCCTGCTAGGTATTTGGTCTTCTCAAAGGTCTTCTCCAGGAGGAAGATTTGCTTCCCAGAGAAAGTGGGTCTGGTGTTTTTCTTCTTGCCTGCAGCCTCACCTAGGTGGGTGCCATCTGAAAGGAACAAACGCACCAGGTGATCACGGGTACAGCTCAGATGTCTTCATGGTAGCTGCACCGTCCATCTCGGCAATAAACCTTGAATTAGAGGGACCATTCGGAATAAATGAAGAGATTAATTATAAATTAACGGTATAGGGTAAATCAGAATGATGTTGACTTCAGGCAGAATCTTTACTTCATTAACTTCATCATGTTGCAGAAACCCAAACGCACTTACATGAGCATCATACTAGTAACTTTCCCGGTTCTTATTTAGTCACGTTTACTTGGAGTCAAATTCAGAAAAGCACAGAACACTCACGATGAAGCCCATTTTAATTTTCTCTGAATTGCATTCTGTTTGAACCTGAAGAACTCAGCTGAACATGTGCGGCAGTCTAAACCCATGGTCTTTTCACCAATCAAAGATCCCCCTGATTCTTCAGTTTCTACACTGCTGATAATGAAATCCTGAATCAAATGCCAGACTGTAGTGTTTCCCAGAATGCCATCCTTAGAGATTGTTCTACATTACTGGTTCTAATGGTAAACCTGATCCCCTCTGGGTCAAACGCTGCATCTGGTAGCCAAACACATATCAGATAATTAATTGCGTTCAGGCAAAGAATCAGTGGTTCCAGCACATACTGACATAGATCTGCTGCGTAAATACACACACACACACACACACACACACACATATATATAGTTGTTAAGCAGGGACATACTATTTGTCATAGTCATGGTGTTTGCATTGCTAATCCCATACACATGTAACAGTCATATCTATAATGATACATGTCATTTGGTGCGACGGGTATGTCCAGGGACAGATGAACTTATCTGGGATATCATCAGCATGAACACTCAGCTGTAGCCCATTTAAGTCACTGTTCCATTTTTCTTGAGGTGCAGGGCCCTGATATTTGCTGAGGGCCCTAGGATAACCTAGGTATTAATGCACCCCTGGTTATGTTGATGAATTCTGGTGCAAGATTAACTCGATTAAAGTAAAAAAAAAAAGCAAGCAAAAACACAGCTTGAGGTTTAGCCACACTAATGAGACTCACCGTCAGCTTGCCCCCAGACCCGCCAGTCATACCCTGGTTCTGGTCCAGAGCTGCCCATTGATGCGCTGCTCAGATTCATCTCATAAGCACCACGACCCAAGGTTTGATCACAGGTGAGAAGTTCTCCAGTCTGGACTGTGGTCCCAAATCCTGCCCTCAGGGAGCATCTGTTTGGGTCTGTGTACAAGGCAGTTCTGGAGAGGGGAATCTGCAGAGAGTATGGCGTATGAAAGTCTGCAGGGAAGAGTCTCGGGCCATCCTGCCAGGGAAATCCTACGGCGCTGGGATCCATGAAGGACGATGGCATCCAGTTGCCCAAAGCTTCCCGATATGCAAGAGCTTACAAGCTTGCAACTTCAGATGTGCCGTTTCTTATCCAATCTGGTGTCTTGGTAGGACTTGGGTGAGTATGACGGCTGGATCAGAGTGGCAGGGGAGGAATACCCCACTGATCTGCCTTATCTGCACCTGCTTGGCGCCACCATTGTCAACTTGTCTCCAGGTAATCCAGGTGCTTCTGTTTGCGGAGCTGCAAGCCTTTTCACGGCTGCTTCTTGAGACCAGCAAATGCTCCCCTGCTCCCTTTCCATTTAAGAAACACCCATGATCCCTATATAGTAGGAGACTGATTAGAATTTGGCCTATAATTGGTTCTCGACTTTTCTAATCCTCCCTGATTGGTTTCCTTCCGTTACTTCTCTAGGTGGCCAGTGGACTGGTAGCTGTTTGAAGAGGCAGAATGTATAATAGTGGGTAACGAAGTCAGAGGATTTTTTAAATCCCGGTGAAGACGAATCCAGTAAAGAGGCAGGCCAGACTAAGCCAAATCACTTGATTGTGTCACAAGGAGTCTACCTACCATTGTTATATTAAACTACTGTTTTGGGCTTACAGATTGTTAATTTGCTTATATACCTAGTCTTTCAAAAATGTATAATGCATTTTTGAAATTATAATTACATCATAATTTGTAAATATTTGCTTGGTGCTTTTACTCTGAGTTTCTCAATGTTTAATTGACTTTCTCAAGGCCTTTTTAAAAGCAATGCATATTAGATTTTCTAATTTGTTCAGTGTTTTCTTCTGTTCCTTTTGATATTTTGTGACTCAAGTCAAGGCAAAATTAGATACAAAACTAGGCTTGTCTTTGCCATTCCAATGAGCTAATTTCTAATAAATTTCTAATTTCCATCCTCGGGTGTTCTCTAGGTGAGACCCAGTAATTACATACCCCCCCCCCCCCACCCTGGACGGCTATGGGAGGTGGCAAATACACTTGTGTAAGTGTTTGCTTTTGGTGCAGTGCAAAGTCAACACAGGTCACTGGTCAAGTGGCATAATTATAACATGAGCTGCCTCTGACATCTTTTCTAGTGGGATCCGAAGTCAGGAAAAGTGGGTGTGGTCAAGTCGTGTTGGCAAGGAATATGATTGGCTCAGTGAAAAAAGAATCACTTATACAATAGGCTCAGCCGAAGTTACCTGGCCCCTCCTGTGTCCACATTACATATGACTTAAATATAGAGCAAAGGCGATGTGGATATATTCTGATGTTACCTGAAACTCTAGATATTGATCTGATAAACTGACACATCTGGATTTGTGTCTTGCCAGTTTGTTGCATGTGGAGGTCTAGTTATTGCAAGGCTATAACTAAATGGTAATGGCATCTGGGTCTTGAACCATGTTTTCACGGCAGGGACGAAAAAGAAGCCAATCTTATATAGTTCAGGTGATGCAGACAAACTGGCTTCTCACTCCGCTCCCAGTCATCCACACACACGCAGAGATTAATTCAAGTGTAACTTTATTTTAACTGCTGACCTGTCAGATCTACAGAGTGATTCTCAAACAAGTTGTTGGTGTAGTTTTGCTATCATACATTTATAACAATAAGGGAAAATTATATATATATATATATATATATATATATATATATATGCTATTGGCACAGTTATTATAACTTTGACATGATTAAATTTCAGTAACTATTTGAGAATACACAACAGGAAATGGATTTGAAGAGGACATGTACACAACTGTTTTTTTTTTCCAGGACCTCTAGTGGTTTAACTCCTATGCTGAAATCAATCTGAAATCAAGCCAGTCACACCAGTTATATTTTCAAATCAGCTTAAGAGATGCAGAAAACTCTAGACATTTAATAATTACACCTATTTCACATCCTTTTTTTCTTTATTAACAAACAGGAAAACAGCCTGGAAAAGCTTCTCCAACATGGCCTGTTCCTCAGACTTGTGTCTGCAGTGCTTTGACCTGGGACCTTCCCAGCTGTGCCTCTTCTTTCCAGCCTAGTCGCAGTAGAAATATGAGCTCCATCATCTAATGGCCAGTGGGCCCATCGGGATTCTGTAGGTGTCTGGATCTAACGAGAAGACTGGCTCTGGTGGAGATGGAGCCCTGAAACTCGCAGGTAAGCTGTAGATATCGGAGGATGTTGCACCAGCACAGGAGAACGAGGAAAAGGCTGGGAGGAAAAAAAAAAATAGTGTGGGAGATATGCGACCTTTGACCACTTATCGTGTTAAATATTTATCTTGGATGGCGAGGCAAAGCCCAGTCCACAGGTTGGAGAAAAAAGGAGTGCAGCAGAAAGAGCGTGAGCGAGTGACGGCGAGTGACGGGGTCCTTCGCTGTGGAGCCACCGACGGGTAAAACCTCTGGGCTCAGACAATATCCAGCACACAGAGGGGCTGCCTGGTGCATGTGGGCGTGTGGCTGATTTTCTGCTCCGTCTTACAGTTTAACTGCAGTGTTGCGAAGTACTGGATGTGGGGGAAAATTTTACTTCTATAATATCCATAAAGCTTCCTGAGGCAGAAATTATGGCAGAAGCTGTTAATATTGTTACAAACACCTGGAGGGTCTTGTAATCGTTTAGTTTCATAATGGTATAGATTTGCCACCCAAATAACCACAGAATGTGTGACCAGCCTTACTAGTTCCTAAGCTTTTCTGTTTTGGATTCTTAGGACAATAATAATATGGTACTCAGAACAACAATCTGACCCAGTATATCTTGTTTTCCTTCCATGAACTATGATGGGTCATGCCTGTGTAATCGTTTTCGCCTCTTACGTTGTCTCAACCTTCCCTCCCCTGAGTCTGTCTTGGTGTCATGTTCGAGGGCAAAGTGCTGTCTCAACATTCCTGGCCACACTTAAACTTTTACATGTGCCCGGAGCCCTTTCAGAACCGATCTGTGTCACGTATTTCCTTTAGAATCATGTGACTTACAGCTGGGAGGAAAGGTTTTTTTTTCCCCCTCTGTGTATTATTACCATTAACATCATCATAATGTAGCCTTTCTTTGTGATTACCTAATAAAGGGGTGCTTCACCCTGTCCTTGGATCAGGATCCTTACTGGTCAATTTCAATCTTAGTAGCCCCTCTTTAGACAGACACATGTGCCCCGTAAGTCCAGGACTGGTAAATGCTAACATAAGCGCCAGTCTAGACTGTCTCCCTGCCTGTTGCAAGGGGGGAGGATCCTCTTTTCTCAGGCTCCTCGTCAAGGGAGAGCTGGCCTCTGTTAAGGCTCTATGCCGGCCTGGGAACCAACGCTTCCTCCAGCTGTCGATGGAAATTATTCCCGTGATCAGCTGAAGCGGCTGTGTGGGTGGATACTGCATGGCACACACACACACACACACACACACACACACACACGCACATGTAGGGTAAACATATCCTTATGGGGACCGCTCATTCATTTCAATGGCAAAAATGCTAACGCTAACTATGACAACCACACAGACACACACAGACACGCACAGACACAGACACATACACACACAGACACACATGTACAGCCCTGTGTTTTGTGGGTCAACTGCTCCTCCGACGACAGCAATTCTCGGAGGTGAGTCAGTCATCTTAAAGAACTGCCTGCTGGCTGACCAAGCAGTCAACCAGGAAGCCTAAACTGGTCTGTTGAATTTGGGCCACCTTGGTTTACAGCAGGATCACAGGTCTAACTTGGCCTTCAGACCGGAACTTGTAGGCTGGTCTTGTCATTGTGGTGAATCAAGTTTAGAAACTAATGCACTTGCTGGCAAAGCAATAAAACTGCCGCATGTCTCAAAAAATCTAGGCAACTGTACTGTTTGTAAGGGATGGGTGGGTGGTAGGTATAAGCAGTTGTTTGCATTCGATTCGATTGTGATTACTGAGGGAACAAATCGATGCATGGATATCGTAACTTGATTTAATTAATCGATTATTTTTATAATATAAACTCAAACCTTTATTAACTTCACTAAAAACAAATCAGCAATATTATCACTGGAACTTAATTAGGCCTACACAATGTTAATGCAGCACAAAGAAAGTAGAATTTCGGATTTATTATTATTAGACCATATTATAAGCTAGTGTAACTTGTCAGAAGACCAAGTACTGAACTGTACTGTTAAGGAAAGGGCTACCTGTGGTCACCAGCGATGAACATTGTGGAGGAAACCGGTGCAGATATGCGGAATGACATTACATCGCTTTTTATGCTGTGGAAACATGTCAGAAACATTTATAAACATGTCATGGGCAGGTATCTTGTGACCTCTTGTAAGTGGTGAATGAACCAATGAAATCCATCATCATCCACTACGGAAAATGGCCAATGCAGTCATCTCCATTGTTCTAGTAATTATGTCACATCAGACTGATGCTGACATCCTGAGTTTCGGTTGATACCGACATGTTAACCAATATATTATGCACCTTTTTACTTAGCTAGCAAGTTAGCTACCTCAGAGTCTTAACCATTGCTACCGTAGCTAACAAATATAACAACATTTTGCACTACAGGAAGGCAGACAGACAGATAATAACACAATTTGGATAGTCTGCCTTCAGAGGGTAAACAGAGAATCTACAAGACTTCAGCAACTTATTAGTTGAGATTCAACATATTATGTGACATCGGTTGAATGAGTAGTCAAATTCAATGAAATTATTCTAAGAATATGTAGATATGTGAATTGTTATGTATACTTTATATACTGTATAATTTGTTAAACATCTACAAACGCAGTGAAACAGATGAATTGTTGAATCTC